ACCTTTATGTGAATCGGTTTGCTTTAATTTTATTTTAATTTCAATTTAATTTATTTTTAATTTTTTTCGGCGCACTGCTGATGATGTCAGGTACGCGCTTTCGTCGAGCGCGGTTTTGTCTACCGCGGTTTTGACGGGTCACACAGTTACCTTCCCACCAAAGGTGGTCCCTATTTTTCTACTTGCATTTTTATATGCTTTTGAACTGCTAAGTTGGCAGAAGTTGGGACAAGTAACAGGTGCTCACTCCATTACGGGAGGGCTAGGGATTTGAACCATTGAACTGCTGACCTTTCTGATCAACAAGCTCAGCGTCTTAGCCACTGACCACTGCGTCCCTATATATTATCATAAACTGCTTTATGGTAATGTTTATGCTACAAAGTGTTTTATAAACTTTGCCAAATTTCAATTACAAGGGAGTCATGGGTCCCAGATTTTTGATGTATTCTGTATGTTAGGCCAGTGGCCCTCAACCTTTTGGGCACCAGTGACCGGTTCTGTGGAGAGAGGTTTACCCATTGACCAGAAAGGGCGTAGTTTTGCGTGCTGCCTGCATCCTGCGGATGGGGCTTTGCTTGTTTGTGCGGCCCTGTTTTTGGCATGGGGGTTGGGGACACATGTGTTAACGCATTTATGGTAACTTGGTTCAAAATGTTTTGCCTATGGTGCACCATTCTGCCCAATTAAAAGTTACAGGATTCAGAATTTTAATAATATATAGAAGATAACCTTTGGAGAATTAAAAACTCAAGTCTGTTGCTTCAGATGTAAGCTAGCAAATCGTAGTAAGTGGTTAATTAATGTCTTTATCCAGAGATAGTCGTTCAGAATTGGTGAAAACTCAATTTATCTAACTTCTCTAATACTGCCACCAGTTGTCTGCTATCAGTGTTCTGTTCTCTGCTCTCATAGAGTTATATTACAATAAGAAATGGAGAGGTGGGTTGGATTAACATCCCTCTCCAGAGAGTAGTTTCTGCCTATCAAAGGGAGTTCAGCAGTGACCAATGTATTTGTCTTTGTGATTTTCAGCATTCCCCCTTCTGCTTCTCTTTTACAGATTTTTATTGGAGAGCTATCTATGTATTTTATCAAGTCCACCAGAGAAAGCTTAATTATCCAGGAGAAAACCATTTTGACGGGGGAATGCTGTTACCTGAATCCACTACTTCGGAGAATCATCCGATTTATAGGTAAGCATAATTAACACATTTGCAGAATAAAATTGAGTTTGAGTTTGAGTTTAATAAAATTTGTACGCCGCCCACTCCCTTGGGACTCTGGGCGGCTCATAGCAAGACAAAAACATTTAAAATTTAAAATAAAAATATAAATATTAAAATTCCACATCATCCATTCCATCTAAGCGGGGCTGGATATCAATCAACAGCCCCAGGCCTGCCGGAACAGCCAGGTCTTGGTGGCTTTACGGAAGGCCGGGAGAGTGGTAAGGGTCCGGATCTCTATGGGTAGATCGTTCCACAGGGCCGGCGCAGCAACAGAGAAGGCCCTCCCCCGGGGGACTGCCAGCCGGCATTGTCTGGTCGATGGCACCCGGAGGAGGCCCAACCTGTGCAATCTTATT